CCTAAAAAAAAAAAAAAAAAAAAAACAGAATTGTTTTTCATTCATCATCAGAACCAGAGCCTTCTGAACTTGAACTCTGCTGTTTATGCGCTTTTCCATTGGCAACAGGGCCCTTCTTTTTCACATTTTGTTCATCAGCTTCGTCTTCGCTGTACTCGCTCTCGTAATCATCATATTCTTCTTCATCATTTTCCTCTTCCTCTTCAATTCCATCCTCCATACTTGGTCCTTCTTCTGCAATAAAGCCACCACGGGTACCCGCACGGGTTCGTTTTGATATCTTCAATTTCAGATTTGTCTTGTTATCGCAACCAATCCAAGAATCACACAGGCAGTAACAAGTCAAATTGTAGTTCCCCTCAGCTGGGGCATGGAACTTGCCTAGAACCAATCTCGATCCCGCTTTTACCTTTTCTACCGCTTCCCTAACTGCAGCACTAGTTTCCTTCACACTTGCTCCAGATCCCTCCATTTGTTCTTCGATTGCCTTGGAAGCTGCAGTTATGGCCGTAGCCTCATCCATGAAACTAACCTTCTGGTAAAACCAAACATTGTTCGAGTTTGGGTCTGCAAGTAGGAACCAGAAGTTTTCTTCTTTGTGAAAGGGGTAGTAGGGAGCATGTGGGAGAGCACCCACCAGCCCATTACGGCGTTCGAGTGTCACCCAAGCTTGAATGGTGACAGTATCACCCTCTTGGATACCCTCTTCACCTTCTGTTTCACATGAGATAGTAACTGTAACGGAAGGCATCATTTCCAGCATCGTTTCAACATCTTGTACTTCAGCCGGCGAGAAACCACCCACCTGCGCAAGCAGCTCGGCACGCTCTTCTTGAGTCAGCTTCTGAAGGTCCTCAAACGCTCTCACTTTCTGCATTACAGTATTAAAAAACACTCATTAGAATAAGTTTTCTTCTTTGTGAAATTATTGAAGGAATGAAAATTTGACAAATTGCAATTTAGAATATAAAAAACTATGAGTGGCGTACTGCAAAATTACATTGTGTCTAACCTACCTTACGGGCTATCTTCTTGACAACAGCCTCGCTGAAATGCGGCAGCTGTAGAAATGGTGCAATACCATCGGAGGATCCTCCAGTGGCCTTTCTTGAACTAAGAGGAACAGCCTGCATTGAACATCTGATATGGATCAAGATAAACAAATGGTGGCAAAAGCTAGCGTCACATATTTGACAGACAAGATATGTGGGTGAGGCCACGGGTACTTCTCAAAAATAGAAGGCTCTAGACATGCCTTGAAAAGATAATCCCATGCGACTTCCAAAGCATTTGTGAGAAATTTACAATAGCAATACCATTCAAAGCACGTTACCTGAATGATACATTGTGAGAGCTCAATGACCCCAGTTGCAGGACGTAGCCATCCTTGTCCTTGGACGTTCCGTGGGATCAGTGCCATCTATACACAAGAAGACCGTCAAAGCATATTAGACTACTGCACAACCTTTGAACAAAATGGAATATGATTACATGACAGCTTTGTTGGACTGGAACAAAACCATGCCAAAGAGAACGTAGAGAAAAGACGATGATAAGTAACATATTATCACTAGTTTTTCTTTTTATCACCGGTCTTTTAACAATATTTTAAAAGCACTGCGATTGAGGCTGAGCGCATTCTTCCTGGAAAGAATCGTTCCCTCATCCATCACAAAATTGCCTTTCACAATTTTTCATCAAAAGCTGAGAGAAATGGTCAACATGCATGATATCATAAAAAAATACAAGACTCAACACACGGACAAGAATTCTTCATCTCACCTTCATTAATTCTTCAAGAAGGCGAGGAGCAAGTTCCAGCACATGTTTAAAGTCACTGTCCAAGGGTGGAGGCAAGTTGGCAAATTCACGAGTTAATTGAGCTTGGATCAACAATTGTGTCTGAAGGTAAAATGAAAAATATGTAAATTGTAAGTGTATGCACACATTCAAAATGTCATAAGGGACGAACAAATTTAAGTCGCTGAAAAAGTTGATGTAAACAGAAATTACTTTAACAAGGGCTGGATGTTGCTTCCAAAACTTCGCCTGCTCTTGTTTAATGTTCTTAAGGTCAAGATTCAACTCACTCCTAACTAGTCCAAATATCTTCTGAAGAGGATCATTATCAGTCCTACGAACTGGCATTTCCACATACTCAGCTGCCTTAATGAAGACATCCATTACTTTGCTGTGTATAGCCAAATTTATTAATAATGTTCAGAAGAAAAAAGAAGAAAGAAAATCAAAGATCTTACTTCATAATGAAGACTTCTCTTTACTTTTCTAATATGGCAATACTTAAAGATGTATTGTTTTATTCTAAATTGACAAGAACGTGTAACCAAGAAAACTTGACAGCAAATAAGAAGAATGTTCATAGATATACTTTACCTGGATATTAATCTATCTCTAAAACTGATTTAAGTTGAATTGTCTAGTCATTTTTATCCTAAAAATTTAAGATTGTCCATGCTTTTAACTAAAGATACCTTGGTGCCAAAGAAGGCTTCATGAAGTAATAATATGTGGAAAGTGTCTGACGCATGACATAGTTTCCAGTGTATTTGGACGACCTTGAAAGATATATAACGGCTATTACCAAAGGCAAGATAATACAAACTCCAACAATCCACAGTAAAAGTATCCCACCAGATGCCCCATCGATATTTAGTAAGAATTGAGGGAGTGCAATTCCCATTTGAAACCCCTGCATCAACATACTAGCAAGTTTAAATTCTGAGTGGCAGTTATCAAGATAAAAAAGCCATATATGATAGTTTTTCTTGTTTTCTGGGTAAGAAAAGGTTAATTAACCTGCTTGCCATCTGGATGGCCATATTTTTCATAATTCTCACGGGATATTGGATCTGTCAAAGCTTGATAAGCCTTAGATATGAACTCCACGAAATATTTGTGGGCCTCTGAGTAAAAGATACGAAGGGAAACATTAGCTGAGACGCAAAGGGTAGAAAATAAAATGGGCACTGAACTATTAAAAAGCCCAACCTGGATCCGGATTTTTATCTGGATGGTATAGGATAGAAAGTCTCCTGTATGCCTTCTTTATATCCACATCCGAAGCCCCAGTTTCCAGTCCCAGAATACTAAACGGCTCAAAGACTTGAATCTGTGCGGTTATCGTAAAATTATACACATACGTCTAAGCCCACAGAAAATAATTAATTCCGAAAGTAGCAACAAGAAAAAACTACAACGAAATATCATTGAGAAGAACACTTGTTTCCTCATTAAAGATTAAACATAATTTACCTCGCGGCTTATATTTTTAATGTAATAGACCAATACGAACATGAAGATCCAAAGAAGTACTAGTGTCAAGTTGCTATATGTGGAGAAATTTGCTATCTGCAAAATGTAATGAAACACACAGTTTTAAAAAAAGTTGGCACTCATCATTCGATCATGTTGTAGATTCAGTGTCATTGAGAAAACTTACCCGCTTGAATATTGACTTGCGATACTTCCCTGAACGGGAGCATTCAGAACACTGGCAATGTATAATCTTTGCCTTCTTTGAAGCGGCACGGCAGAGCTTAAGAATTGTATAAGGCACTAAAGGCAGTGCCATTATTGTCAAAATAAAGATTGGGAACAATGCACTATTCTCTTCAGACGTCGCCATTGAAACCTTTTTTCAGCAGTGCCTTCCGTCAATTTGTACTGCCTGTAGAAACTACTGTGTTACAACAACAAGATAATGAAGAGAATGTAGCATATCATAAAGGACGTTTTACAGTAACTTTGAAACCTAAGTGAATTTCAGAAACAGAAAAAAGAAGGAATCCTCAAGTAACAAAGATAAACTTGGTTGACCACATCATATAATATCTGCTGATTGCATGCAACTTTAGGAAACTGCAGGTTGAATGATGAGCATAGATCAGTAATATCTTCGCTATATTGTAAAGAAAGTTGAAAGCAGATAAACAAGCTTCCAACAACGACCCAAACTGTTCAATATCGCCTTAAGACCCAGAATCCTACCCACAAAATGCTGAAATGGCCTTTAACCGCCGTTAATTGATAGAGAGGAAGAGATAGGGCATCAAATCCAATGAAATTGAAGTCTAAACGATTTGAGCTACACCAAACTAACCACTCAAATACAAACATGATTTCGATCCATATGAATCAGCATCAATCTCATAAGAATCAGTACAGAAACAGCGGCGTCCAAACGAATAATTAATCAAATTATTCAAATCACACGCATGAAACTAAACGAAAGTTCGGAAGGGGGGCCAATTCAGAATATCTCGACGCCAAACAAATAAATATCTGATTTGAGGAGGAAAAGTGCAACAAAACAGAGAGATAAGGACCTGAACAATGGGAAATCGAGTCGGCGATCTGCTAAGCAAGTGCTAGCTTCGTCTTTTGGGTCGACTTTAGAGAGGGTGCTTCATAGGATGAGGAAGCTTGAAGGAACTAAAAGGAAAAATATAAATTTATATTTATTTTTTATTTTTTTATTTCGAGCCTAAGATCCAAAACTTAAAAAAAAAAAAAAAAAAAAAAAAAAAAAAAAAAAAAAAAAAAAAAAAAAAAAAAA